GCCACCAATAAATCCATTTGGGAGAATGCTTATGGTCAGTGCTAAAAAAATCCTGAGCTGAAAGGGTCCCCAAGATCCAAGAAAAGCTGTGATGGTGTCATAGTCTCTGATTTTTACCGTATTCGTCACTTCACCAAAATCCTTCATACTTAAAAGAGTCAGTGCTGAATAGCCAGAAGATAGGATTAGCACTATTGGTCTAAGAGATCTCAGAGGTTGAGCTCAGGTTTTATATGCCTCACCTGATATGGGAGGTTACACAGTTACATAAAGTTTTTTTTACAACACTATTTGATCTTTAGCACATGTTTTGTTGTGCTAAACAAGTGATAATCCTGTAGCTGAGGAGACTAGCGCATTATGACCACAGTTACACAAAAAGTATTTTATTTAGATTTTAATATTTCAATGACTTTGATGTTTTCTTCACAGTAGGTTAGGTAAATTAGACATACCAAATACTGTGCACAGAATAAAATTTCAAAACAAAAACAAGTAAATAGAACTTTTGAAATAGAACAGATACCATGACTTAATAAGTTGGATTATTTCAGAATATTTCAGAATTATTTATTTTCATTACAAAGAGAATATTGCATAGGATTGAGGTGGGACCTTATCTTTGAATGCCCAAAAACCTGCGAACCGTGTAACCAGGTTTATTGTCCACTACCTGGGCGGGTACATGCTGATGGGCCAGCATGCAAAAAGGGCTGGAAGAAAAGGTTTCATTTGGGAAACATCAAAAGTAGGCTGGATCTTGAAAGATGTTGGATGTTGAGATAGACAGCTGATGTGTTAATGATGCACTCAGTCTCAAAAGCTAGTTTTTGATGCTGGGGATGTTGTAAAGAGAGCACCACAGTCTCCCCCTCTTGGACTGGAAGCAAAGACGGTTGACATCCCAATGAAGCTTCAAATGGTGAGGCGGTTAGTGAGCATACTTAACCCAAGGACCATGGGGCCTTCAGAAGGAGGGATTGAGGTAGTGATACAGCACAGGGCAGCTTTAAGCTCCCGATTAGCCCTTTCTTTTTGATTGTTGAACTAGAAACCTGAGAATAAGCTAACCTTCGTGCCTGGTACTTCACGCAAAAACAATATATAAATTGGGAATGTCTGTGTGTCTGAGAAAATGTGTGAGGGAATGCAGTTGGAATACAGAGGTGGCTGACAGGAGTAGCTGCAAAAGAGCTGAAGGCAGGAACAAGCCTTGCTTTTGAAGCAAATTGAACAGGTTGCACATACTCTCTCTGTAGAGTGGGCTACCAAAAGTTAGCTAAGAGAGGGTGCCACTTTAACCGGGGCACCAAGCAAATCTGATAATGTGCACCCAAGGCATCACTTGCATGCGAACGAAGGAAGGCGCGAATACATGGGTCGGGAACAGTAAGTAAAATCACAATGCAAGCCAAGAGTGAGTATGCTGTTTATTAAGTTAAGAAAATAGGGTCTTGGTGACATGATGATCTAGCAATGCATTTTTCTGAAGTTAAGCATTACTTCTTGGGATGGCGTGGACACAGAGGATCAGGATGGAGGAGGAGAGCTGAAGACTGGGAGAAGGTTCTGGAGCAATACTGAAGCAGTACCAAGACACTTCTGTAGGCTGGAACCTCACACAGCAGATGAGAAGCAGCTTAAGTAATTGTTGACATGCTGGTTTGATGTGTTAAGGGTTGAAGAGTAGTAGTTAATGATGATGACAGCAATCCTGCTAAGACAGAGTACTCATAACGAATGAGTTGCCCTAATTTAGTTATTTCAGTTACAAAGCTTAGTTTTTTTTTGAGGCAATGCGTTTTACATTATTTTTTGAAGTTCTGGGAAATAATTAGATTTTACAGTGTAGAGACTTCAGAGTAAAATTGTAAGACTGGAAATGCAAAATACACAACCAAATATCTTTAGGTGCAGACTAATGGAGACTTAAATAACCAAACGTTTGTACTGTGTCTAGAATATGTATATGACTAAAGTTTATATTTTCATCTCTTGGTTTTAATACTTTTCACATTATATGTGGAAACTGTACACATACCACAGAAATGTAATGTTTTTTTCTTCATAGACAACAAATCTTCAAGGTGTGGGGAGGAAAACAACAAGATGAAGCTGTAGTTAAACTTTGGATCCTAGATCTGTAAATGAAACACGACTTCTGCACACATGGTACAAAGTGATATAATGAGTGACCTAACACAAACAGGCTAACCTGAAATGCAAACCTGAGCCAAAAGACAACAGGAACTCGAGTCTCTTGGTGTAAGCAAGTCTTAACCAAATACTTTTCATATTCACCGGGAACAAAAATATTTATTTAATATTTGTTTATAGAAATATTTGTTTAACCAAAAACAAACAAACAAAAAACCAAACCCATTCCTGGAAGTCACAAAGCCCTCCTACAGCCTCTTTTTTTTCACTTCATCAAACTGCATTTTCTAGCCTCTTCTGCTATATTACTTCCAGATGATAAAAAGGCCAAGCCAATGAAACTACATCATAATTAAATTATCTTTCATCTAGTTTTTAGAACCTTTGACCTTTTTAGCACCTTTGCAGATTGTGAAGATCATATATTCAAACAAACAACATATTTCCAAGACTCTTACTTCAGCTTGGGTCAAAATAGCCTCTGAGGGGCCTCTTACTTTATTCTTCTTAACAGCTTCTTCCAGAATGGCCTTTACTCTTCCCTGAGAGAGCAGCCAATGATAAGACAACAATACTAACAATATAACTACAATATCTGACAATATCAATGTAACCAAACGATGACCTGGACACATCAAAGAAAAACTTAAATAGGATGTTAACGTTTAAAACAGTCACAAATTAAGCCATTACCATCGCTTATTAATTTCATATGATGGTGTTACCTTTATTTAGTAAATGGAAAAGGGATTGGATCTTATACAGTATTTCTTTTCTACTGGAGCATCAAAGTGTTTTATACAACATGTCTCATTCACGCGTTGACACCCATTCAAACAAGCACTTTTTATTTTCTACAACTAAATGCTTTCTATTGAAGATTAACATTTCAGAGGCCAACTTGGGGTTCATTAACTTTCCCAAAGATACTTTGACATCAAAACTTTGTGCTCAAACTACCAGCTTTCCAGTTACTGGATGACCAGTTCAACCTCCTGAGTTACAGCCATGATTTTTTAAATATTATTCAACCATCTTGTTGCTGATTGACTTCAGTGTAACTGATTTGTTGCATCATCTAACCTTCTTAAGCATCAAGTCACAACCAGTTTCCCTGGAAAATATCTTGATGCTGCCTTGACAATTATAGTTTCTCTAAAGATAAGATAAGATAACATTTATTAGTCCCACACATGGGAAATTTGTTTTGTCACAGCAGGAAGTGGACAGTGCAAAAGTTATATAGCAAAATTAGAATACAATAAAATAGAGTGATGGTCCACTCCAGAGTTCTCCAGCTTGTCCTTCAGGACCAAGGGAAGAATGGTGTTGAAGGCACTGGAGAAATCAAAGAACATGATTCTCACAGTGCTTCTAGCGGTCTCCAGGTAAGCGAGGGAATGATGTAAAATGGTAAATGGCCTGTATTTGTATAGCACTGTACTAGTCCCTAAGGACCCCAAAGCGCTTTACACATCCAGTCATCCACCCATTCACACACACATTCACACACTGGTGATGGCAAGCTACACTGTAGCCACAGCCACCCTGGGGCGCACTGACAGAG